AACTGCACCGAATAAAACCTTTTTTTCACCTGTTTCGCGGATAATACATTTTTTTAAATTACATATAAGATTGTCCTGATAAAACTTTTTTTCACATATTCTTAAGTCATAAACACAAGGCGAGAAAACTATTTCAGATCAGACTTCAAAAATGGATCACAAGTATTTGACTTTCCTCACTTGACCTCTCAGGGCTTCCGTAGGAAACACTTCCTGAATCATGGTGGAGGGAGCAGCAGCAGCAAATAGCATTGGCATGAGTGTATCAGCTGAGTAATTGTGAGTCAGGTTACAAATAGAAATTTAAAAAAATCCCAGCATGCATTATGACTAATCATAGTAGGAACTGGTGTTATTAATAACATCAACAGTGGCTCTCAGTAACTCTTGTACAGGGATGTGTCCCAAACCAGCCCCCTTATTGACTCACTCTCTGCTAGTTGTGTAGCCTAATGTACGCTCAGGAGTTTACTCAATAGTTAGCAGTCGGTTAAGATTTGTGACACTCACTAACCATCAGCGTTTTGCTTCAACACCAATATAGCTATAGAGTCACACAATGGCCATTTTCACATCCTTAAAATGCAGCACATTACATTGTTGGATATTTATCAGAAAATAGTGGAAATGTGAGTTTTGAGAGCTCAATATAGTGGACATATTTACGACTAGTAAAGGTAGTGCACGTCTGCCTTGGGCCTGTAGCTGTGCTGATGACTGGACGTTATCTGTTAGCTGATGGCCAGCCATTTTGTGAGGCATCAATGAAACAAAGGATGACTATCAGCTCATGCAAGCTCACCTTCGGTGCTCTGCTTGTGCTCCTTTCCATTCCATTTCCAAACAGTGCAGCGGCGTTTTCTATTGGACGCACAAGCACATAGGAGTTAAACAAAGGGGAAGTGTGAAACTTCACTATAAGTACAAATAGAAGACAGAGAAAATATTCGTATGCAAAATGTAATGTGACCACTATGCCTCATTGCGTGTTTGTGTATGCAGCTTTTTCTGCCAAAGTCTACAAAGCAAACACAGCCAGAAGATATCATGTTACCACATCAATCATAAATGAGCTTTTCAATATGCTCGTGAAGCTTCTTAAATGTCAGCAAAGCGATGGACAGTTTCCACCACTGGAAAAGTGGCTGCCGCCAAAACAAACTGCTGGAAGCAGGCTGCTTCTGAAACACTTGGAAGTGTTTTGCTCTGCAGGTTTAAATCATACACAAATAAATAATGTTCGTTTTCTCCCGGGCTCTCTTTAATGTTCTTCTCTTGGGCTACATTTACTTTCTGATGAATGTTTAAGCCAGAATTCAAGTAATTAATTAATTAATAACGATCTAAGACCTGCTTCTGACTTAACAGGCGCCCGCTGGCATCTTACTTTGGATATTCAAGCTATCACTGCAAAATTCAACTTGCATGGATTCTGCTGGGTTTTGAGGCCATTTGAACTAAGTGGTCCCCAAGATACTGTAGTCTGTCTCCGCCCCTGAGTCTCTCTCTCTCTCTCCACCTCTATCTCACACACACACACACACACACACACGCACACACACACACACACAGTCATGTGGAACTAAAGAGGAGCATGTGTCGCAGGTCAGCCTCAGTTTCACCTCACAGGTGGCAGTCACAGCTGTTCTGGCACACGCACACACACACAAACACAGTAACTGCAGTATGGAGCCCCCTGGTGAAGCACTGAGGCAATGGGAGGGTGTTCACTCTGTTTAGACTCCTTAATATTTCCACTGACAACAACTTAACGTGAATTTGACATGTATTATGTTGGTAAATGTTTGCTGTGTTGTCCTGTATGCTAGAATTTTGAATCATGAGGAGTTAACACACTTTTCCGCCATTCTTTTGTCTGCCTGTCCACAAAATATAACTGATAAGTGTAATGTCGTCTTCACAGAGCCACTGGCAGGATTTCAACAACTCTGTGTAGACTGACAGCACCACCCATCACAGGAGCACTGCCAAAAACTACAGTGAAACTAAGCAGCGCAGTACAACGGTGGATATTGCTGTTACCTCCGTCTCGGTTTTTATCCCCCTCTCGCCACATAATACATCACAATGAACTTTAATAAAGACAATATTCCTTTGCTGGTGCGTCTGGACCTCAAATAATGAAAAATATTGATTTGAAACATCTTTAAGTCGATATTACTCTCTGTCATCAGGGAGCACGGCTAGAAGAGGGCTCTGCATCGAGTTGCATTCTGAAGGTTACAGCACCATCTAGTGGCTGCTGACGATGCAGACAGCTTCAGTCACAATTCACCGCCACCTGGTTGCTGTTGCTTTCAGGGCCTGAGCAGCAGTAATGCATATTTTTTTTGCTTCCTGGAGAAAGTGTAACCCAGAGATGGGGAATTCTTCCAATCTGCCAGTGCAGTAATATGCTGACGCATACATACTGACAGTAATCGAACTCTGCATATTACTCACGTGGCGGGGGCTTTGCTAAAAGAAGCATAAGGAATTTTAATCTGAACATTATCTGCTTCATGGAATGATAATTTTTCATGACAGCCCCCGTGCGTCAGTAAGAGGATGTGAAATTAGCTTTAAAAGAAAGATTATTAGACGACCACTGTCACAGAATAATTGAACCAGGGACAGACAGCTATCTTGGCAATGTATTGATACAAATATTTTCATCTTATTTCATTCTTATTTTTATTTTCTATACATTTTGCAAGGGACGGAAATTAACCTACGGTCTTAAAGCTTGACTTTATCATAAAATACTTGCATTGGACGTACATATCCACTCTATGCTGTATATTGTTACCCTTGGCGTTGTTTCACGAGTGTGAGGATCTTCTCAAAAAGTGCATACTAGATTTCAAGCCAGCAGGGTCAAATGTTCCCATGGCCCCAAATGTTTCAACAGCAATGGTAAGGGCGGAACAAGGTGGGTGAGACTTTCTGAGTGGCGGCCTACTGTAAGTGTAGGTGCAGTGGAGATGATGAACTCTGACTGTACTTAGTGGAGGATGTGGTTTTTCAAAGCAACTTATTGTTTTTGTTTCAGCCCTTTGTGATATTGTGTACCTGACTGAATAAAACACGTGGGAGCCTGGCAACTGCATGGTTTCACTCACCCTCCTACCTTTTCTTTAAAGTCAGGTTAAGTAACTTGAGAGTTCAGTACACTCATGGATGATGTCACCACAGCTCATGGATTCATTTTTTTGCTTCGAACCTGCTGGCCGGCCTTCTGCGTAGAGATGCTCTCCCCGAGTCGGCGTGGGTTGTTCTCCAGCTTCCTACAGTCCAAAGACATGCAGGTTGATTTAATTGTTGACTCTAAATTGCTTGTCGGTGTGAGCGTGAATGGTTTCCATGTGTAAATGGTTTCCTTGTGTCCAGTCCTGTGATAGTCTGCCGACCTAGACTAGACGAATAGACTTAATTATTGTAACGTGTTCTGTAACACTGTCTGTTATGACAACTTCTGTTATCATCTGAATGAGGAGTAAAACATTAATTATTTTCAAGTTGGAGCGCTTTAGACTGGCAAGTTTAAATGTCTGGATTTATAAGGACTACGCCAGTCTTGCAACGCTTCATTTTCTAAAAACTTTTAAGATCAATTACTGGAAAAGTATAAATGCTGTCGAGTTGAGTCCAAATGCAATTTGAATGAAATGACAAGCACAATTCAAACTGAAATGCGTTTCTTTTTATCATCATGAAACAGGTCTGAAGAATTTAGGTTGTAAAGTTTTGGAATACAAATAGTTCCAATGGCATAAGAGCACAAGTGGTCCTAAACTAATGCTTAATCTGTGTTATGAATATGAGGGCGTCCTTGGAAAATCATCTCAGCTGCAAGGAGTCCCTGGCCTCAAAAAGTTTGAGAACCCTTGAGATAATGGATGGATGGATGAATGTGAGCTTTAATGGCGTTAAGGTCAACTGGAAAGTGACTTAGAAATGAATTAGGGTTATCAATAAGTCTGAAGAGCGTGTTTCAAAAGATAAGATTGTAAACTTGTTATTTGATATTTTGCATAGAAAAGTGAGGTTCAACTACTAATTGAGATGTTCATTTGAAGTTGGTTGAAATGCTGTGTATCATGTATTTATGGACATTTGTATTTTTCTTGTAAATCTTTTACATATTCCTCAAGTGTTTTCTTCTATAAAATGTATATAAAAAAACCAATTATACCATATGATGTTGATTAAGTACACAAATTACACATTATGTACCCAGTTCTAGACTGTGTTCAACCTTTAGTCCACATTCAGCCGTTTCCAATAAAGTTAATGTTTGCTGCAAATGTCTATAGACCCCTACTGAGCTCCCAACTAAGGTTCTCTGCACAATGTGACAGGTACCTTGTCACCTTCACGTTCCCATTAAGTCCAGTACAACCAGTACTTGAAGCAAATACAAAGACATTTAATTTTGTGTTGATTTTGGCGTCCCTTGTGGACAAAATAAGTAGTGTTTCCACAAGCATCAACACCACAAAATAAACTTTTAATGCATGCACATACTATTTCTGATATTTTAATTTAGTAATGCATATTTGCAAATAATCTAATTAGAAATATATGTGACTTTACGTTTTACAACACATCAACACACAAGCAATGGTGGAAAAGTAACTATGTAGGCTACATTTACTCAAGTACTGTACTTATTTGAGTATTCTACTTGACTACAGTATCTCCATTTTCTACTATTTTTTACTTTTACTCAACTACAATCTAGAGGAAAATATTATATTCGTTTTACACAACTGCATTTTGATCATTTTAGTTACTTTCCACGTGGACTATTCTGCTAAATTAGTACTTTTAAATTTTACTTTGGTACCTCTTTTGGTATTTGATGCTATTATTGTGTACTTTTATTTACGGTAAATAAAAAAAATGCATGACTTCTCTGCACTATTACAGAAAAAAATCGGAATACTTTCACAACTGCAGATAAGGATCTTAGCCGTGCCGCGAGGAGCACAACTGTCGTGTTTTGATGACACCATCACTGGGACTTTCCGGATACGTCATTCGGGGCTTCCGAGTTATTAAGCTAGCTCTACCTCTGTGTTCATGTCGTTAGACACTGTAAACGTCGCCTCGTTGCTCTGGAGTACACAACAAAAGATACCATGAAAACACCAAAGGCTCCCAACAGCGCCGAGAGGTTTGAATATTGAGACGTCGTTGTCGGGAGCGACGGTCAGACTGAGAGGCGGAATGTCAACAACGCGGCCTCTACTCGGAATGAGACGAGTCACCGAGCTAACGTGCGCCGAGCAGCCGGCCAGCAGGCTCCCTGCGTCAGCCGGGAGGCTGCAGCTAGAGGGCCCCACTGTGGACGAGTTTACGGTGCTAGAGGAGAAAGAAGATGAGCTGAAGTGTGCCAAGCCTCGAGTGGAGCAGGTTTTTAAAGTAACATTCACCATTATCGGTCTGTTGGACCACACGGGACAGCCGCACGGCAGCAAAACATCACGGCAGATATGGCTGCAGCTCCGAGGGAACAGAGACGACGTGTCGAAGGCAAAGGTGAGGTCCTCCTAAACGGATCGATGAGCCCACTGCGACACGGAGTTGTTGTTTGTTTGTATTTTATCCAAAGATGAGACCAAATAACCACCACACTGGCAGTACCGCTCAATATCTGCCTGTTTGTGGCTCATGAACAGGTGTATCAGTGTTCCTTGATTGGCACCTCTCGGCTCTTTAGTCACACATCTCACCAGAATGTTAACTGTTATAAGGCCAGAGCTGGGAGATGATGTCGTATTCAGACTAGGTATGGTGAAGATATCTTCTGTTTTGTTTGGGTTTTGCTGGTCTATACAGGTTGTTGTTGTTGTTGTTGTTGTTGCTAAGAGATACAGTTAAACATTGACTCTACCTTTTTAGATACCACATCCGCAGTACAAACGGTGTTTTCTTGACATAATATCAACCACCCCTTGTTTAGATCAGATATTCACTGGCAGCGACAGTAGTCATAACGCTCCCAATATAAAACCTCACTTTTGACATTCTGGTGTCAGGTCGAAGATGTCATGACATTTTATTTTGTATCGTCACTGGCCATGAGTTAACAAAGAAGCCACCAAATGATGTCATGAGTCACACCCTTGGACATAAATACATCATTTCAGTTTCAAAATGTTTCTGTTTACGTGTTGCATTTGTTTGTTGTTGTTTGCGTTAAGACCTCTTGCCGTTTGTTACATGCACAGTTTGTTAGCCATTTTGTGGAGATGTGGACAGACATTACAACATATTGTATGATTTTCTTTCTCAGTTGGAATTTCTTTTATTGTGAGCATGTTGATATCAAGGACAGTGTATTGTGCTTGTATCAGTTATACAATCCTAATTTGTAAATGCATACTTTCCATCAAAAAGGTGAACTAAACAACAACAGTTAATTTTAGAAAGGCACCTGGGCCTGCAATGCATTTAGAGATTATACACTACACTTGCATATGCAAAACAGCTGTCGGCATCTGTGGCATTTATTTATCCCTGAGTGACTTCCCATACATCTGTCACACTTCTGCATCTTGTGTCATGGGTCTCTTTTCGTGCGCAAGTTGCTCCCCCCCCAGAACCAGCTGTTCCAAGCTCTGCCAGTCAACCGAGAATGTGCTGTGGAAATGGTAACTTTGCTGTCAGTCTGTTCAAGTCATGATAAGAATGTCACAGGAGTAATAAATGGCTTCCTGCCCAACCATACTAAAGTGGTGCTTCCTCTAGTTGGGAAATCACTGCCATTATTCCCATGACAACCTTTCTTGTAATGTAGTTTCACCAGTTTGCATCTCACTTGAACCGTGAGAAAAAGACCCTGCGCGTGATTGAAAAATAGTCCCGTTTTGTTACTTTCTCTTTTAATAATTTGCCACACTTTGAAGCTGCTTCTCACACACACTGGCGATGAAAAGCTATCTGCTTGAATTTTAGAAGGCGCAATACAGTTTGTGACTGACTGTATTCAGTTTAATTGTAAATGAATCAATGGCTGGCAGCCAAGTATTTGCTTTTTATTCTTGAATATGTCATGAATTGCTTTATAGTGTTTGTTTTTTTTATTGTTGCTTCGACTAAACAGAGGGAGAGTTTCTGTACAATTAGTCCCTTTGGTTTAACGGTTTGAATTTGAACTTGAATGTTGATTCCTTGAGGCAAATCTCCAAATACAGCTAAAATGCAGCCACTCTGTTTCCCCTCCATAGCTGTAAAATGTCCGAACAGAATCCCATTACCGGAGCTTCTTTCATCCTGTTTCATTGGTGTGTTGTGTGTTGTACTAGAGCTTTCTCTCCAACTGTCAATAGACAAATATCAACCTTTTTCTTACCATTCCTTTAGCACTCTGCTTGTAACGGGCAGACGCCTGTCTGTGTGCTGCTGTTTAATATAATAAATGGTGAAAGTTGTGCAGAAAGCCATAAGGCAAAATAGCATGGCATACATACAGTAATATATGCTGCAGTACTCTTAAAAAGTACACTGACTTTAACACTGACTTTTCCCTCCAAAAATGTCAACTAAACTAAAAACCATATTTTATTAATAGTTGTACTTCAGCTACAATAGCGCAGCCCATTTGGTGGTTATTGCCAAGGGCCACACCTCCTCAGAATCCAGACTCATTTCATTGGTTGTTTGATTTCAAAAGCCACACCCAAATATTTGTGAGCTGGTTCTCTTTCAAGTCTGACGTCCTTTCTTTCTGCGCCATTATTGAGTCATTTTACACATTATTGCTAAAGAAATGTGACACAGTATCTGTTGGGAAGTAACCGCACCCACCTGCGGCTGATTCATCCGTACATTTCCCACAGCCAGGAGATTCCCTGAATCAATGACAGGTGTTTAGTTTCAGCGCGTGTCAGCTCCACTGCTCTACAGCGAGTTGCGTGGGCGTTTGTGTGTGCTCATTAACTGAGAGAGAGCACGTACAAGCAATTTTTGCACTAATCCTGTAAAATAAATGTATATATTTCATTTTGCCTAATGTGCTTTATTCCGAATTTTGCTGAAATCCCAGATAGATTTTTAGAAGGATGTGTCACTAAAATTCTTGTATTGTAGGAGCCCTGTTTGGCTTCTGTTTGTTCTTTTTATCAGCAAGTGTGTGTGTGTGTGTGTGTGTGTGTGTGTGTGTGTGTGTGTGTGTGTGTGTGTGTGTGTGTGTTTTTCAGAGTTTGTTTGTGGAGTTGCAAAAAACAACACAGTCCTATATAATCACAGCATTTTCCTCTCCTTGTCATGCAGGAATATGTTCGAGGACTCTGTGACCCAGAGCTACAGAAAGAAGAGAGGTACCCGGTAGACATGCACTGTATTTTTGCTGGGGCCCGGGGCCTCTTCCTGGAAAGGCTCATACGCGACACAAGTGCTGAAGTCGTGGTGCCTGAGCCGGGCCGCCTGCGGTTGTTGGGCCGGGCTGAACCCGTAGTGATGGCCCAGAGCAGAGTTCAGCAATTCGTAGCACTATTCCAGGTAGGGGTTTCTAATGATCTGTGGTTTTACTATACAGTAGTTTAGTCCAGTTGTGGGACGGACATTTCTTTTAAGTGTACAGAGGACTGTTCATGTACCGTCAATCTAGTAGTTACAGAAGGCTTTACAGCAACTTTCCTAGTCCCATTGAAAATCTGTGTTTGTGCTGTATCCAGGAAAAGCGAAGTCTGCCGAGTGACACAGAGCCCACAGTGAAGCGAGCGTTCAAGTCCTTTGTGGAGGAAAGGGATGACAAGTACACTATGGAGCTTCTTCTGCTGCCCAGTGCCCTCAAGGAAGAGTTACTGGGACTGGCTCATAGCCCCACTACCACAAACACATCCTCCCTGGTTAGTGTATACCTTCTTTTTTTTTTTTTTTTAAATAGGATTTATTACAGTACAGCAATAACCACTGTGTCTAGCTGAAATGCACTAGAGTGTCTTTGGATAACTGTAGAAACTTTAGAAAACAGTGGCTGATTTCCAAATTGTGTACTTTTTTTTAAACTTATAGTACACACTTCAGCTGCCTTGACAAAGTACGTACTGCTGCTTTTGCTCGTATATCCGCTTGCATACTACAAGACGCGACCTGATGTAGTAGAATATCCCGGTACTTTTGGCATTTGACATACTATGTTTTGGGACAAACTAATAGTGTGGTAGTGGGTACTGGAACGCACAGTACAATTCATCTACTGTAATGTTAAACCCTTGGGCACTGTGTGACGTTCTGCCACAGCTCAGTCAAAAATCTACAAATTGTGGGTTGTTAGAGTGTAATTGTAACTTTGCAGCTAAAGTGCAAGGATTCCGTTGGTTTCATTTCACTCAAATACATCAAATCAAGACGATAGCGACGTGCATATCTCACCCCGACTGAAGGGAATTTACTCCCTGCTCTTGCTGGGAGAGGTCACCAGTTCATTTGCCGATACACTGGTCTGCATCATCAGTTTGACATTTGACGTCTGTGTGTGAAAATGTTTGTCAAGTGCCTCGAGGAGTCGAATTTCGGCAATATTCAGATATGGCAATGAAATGACGTGCGTTCCCCACTAAGTTAGGTAATCAACATGTCAAAGTAAATATCCATAGCAAGGTATTGAAAGAACTCCTGGTTAAATGTGCAATAAATGCTAAAAAAAACAAAAACAAGTGAGAATTTGATTAGTTAAAAGAAGCTAGAACTGCCGATTTGACATCCACCACCGTGGCCACAACAACTCGCGCAAGCCCGACTTTACCTCCAGCACCTATTTACTCCTCCAGCGTCTGCAGGGCTGTTATCTCGGGGGAAACCCTGTTGCTGTTCCAGACGGTGGTATGATCAGTTCAACTGGATCAAGTACAGTAAGGAAAAAGATGCAATCTTTTGCAAGGCCTGAAGGTATTTTCCAGAGTCTCCAACTGAGTTGACATTTGCAACTCTCGCAACAGACACGTTTCATTGTCGGTTGGGATGCATTTGTTGGTGTAGCTCACTGTCTTAGGTTAACTAAAATCTGGATCTGACCTTAAGCTGGTGCTGCTTGCTTGGATTTTGGAAGCGCTGAATGAAATGGTCAGGATAACTTGCGCACCGATGCTCTCCTGCGGAACATTCAAACCAAAATAATATTTTTTCACAGCAGCGGAAGTGAAACTGACAAAAACACAAGGAAAGTCCTCGGGCATCAAGATCAACATCGACTTACAGATGTGGAATAGTATTCTGAACAGTGCATTTCGGAGGCTGCTCTGTCAACCCTGTGTTCATGATCTGGTAGTAATGGTGATTTAAAAAAATAAATCTTTACATTTGCTTTCAACTAAGTAGATTTGGGATTGCAGGATGATCATGGAAAATGTTGATTTGGAAAAGTGAAACACAAAGATCTCGTGCAGTTTTACAGGCCTGCCCAAATGTTTTTATGCGTCCGCGCTGGCGACAACCGTGGCCGGAGGAGTTATGTTTTCGGGTCGTCCGTCCGTCCATCCTGTTACTGCGAACGAGATATCTCAGGAACACCTTGAGCGAATTTCTTTAAATTTGGCAAAAACATTCACGAGGTCTCAAGGATGAACTGATTAGAATTTGGTGGTCAAAGGTCACAAAAAGCATCTTTAGCCATAACTCAAGACTTGATATTCTATTATGTCAATTTCACACAAATGTCTACGAGGATAAAATTATGAAGTGAAGACATTTTGGACAGACATGACTGGAGGCGAGGCGGTAATTCTAGTGTTTGTCCTTGGCTGCAGGATACCCTTTTATATTAATCAAAGTAAGGCAGGTTGTTACTGTTCCTGTTCTACAGGACGTGCATCTCCAAAAACTCAACATTTCTGAGACCAAACAAAGCTTGAGACATGTTTCTTTGACAGCTTGACATTGTTCTATCCATGTTTTAACCTAATCTCACTTGTCCAATGAGAACGTTGAGTATTCCTGCTGGTTAGGATGGGCGAGTGTTTGAGGGGAACTTTGTTTTGTCCTTCTTAACCACGGTGATGCGATGCTGTGTTCCCTCTCCCAGATTCAGCTCAACCAGACGCTGCATCCCAGCATGGCCGAGGTCGACCAGGACCGCTCGCAGAGTAGCACCCCCGTGACGGAGCTCTCCAACCGCATACTCGGCGCCAGCTTTGAGGAGAAAGGGAGCGGCGCAGCATCTGTCGGAGGAGGTGGTAAAGCAGCAGGAGCAATGGGCTCGGGTCCTGAGGCCGTCCTGCTCAACGGCACGCGGCCCTCGCACAAGCGGCGCTCCTCTGAGAGCGAGAATCGTGACACAAAGAGACAGTACTCCCTGGAGCGGAGGGATGAGTCGCCGGAGAGGGCGAGAGAGAGGGAGCGACAGAGAGACAGGGAGGGCCGGGGGGGCGGTAGCAGATCCAAAACGCCCTCGGCTTCATCCTCCCTCTCCTCCTCCTCCCTCTCCTCCTCCTCCTCCTCCTCCTCAGGAAAAGCAAACACAGTAGCCGGTGCGCTCATGTTGGACTCAAGTGAAGGAGTCTCAGATGACGGGGAGGCAGTCAGCCCAGAAACCAACCTCCGTTGCTTGGTCAATTTCTTCAGGTAAAGGTCGTAATAGTTTGAGATGTTTGCAAAACCTATTAAGGGAATTCCTTGTTAACCGGATATGTAGTTGTAGTCAAGTATAACATGGGGATTTTGTATTTACATTCTTTATTTGTGGTTTTGTGTCGGTCTATACGGGGTTCTAGATAACGGTGTGTTTAAAGGAAAGGTTTTCATATTTTAAGTCTGTATTAAAACCGTGCTCATAATCCCATCTGTGCATGGAAAGACTGAACTTTTGCTGTTCCTCCTGTCCATACTGGCCATGAAGACATACCTTCGTAATGAGATTTCAATATAAGCGGTGGGGCTCAAAACTCCACAGTCCAATTTCTGTGCAGAAATGCATTCTAATGTTCAGATGAGGCTAAAATGAGGCTTCAGGGGACTGAGCTAGAAAATGAACTGTATTTCCCTGCTGAGCAGCAGTGGTAGGACAGTGACAAACACAAGGCTATAGCTTTGGAAAGTTCTTTCATATTAGCATTGGTTGAATTTTAGAGCACACTTTATACAAAATACGGACTGTAGAACAGAGGCTGACATTTTTTCAGGGATTTTTTTCCTGTGGGATTAACCCGGGATTGGAGTCAACTTCCCTATTGAATCATAACTACACTTGGTCAGTTTTTATATCTAAAGATGCAGTTCTAATATGAACCTTTACTGTGGAACTGTTAGGAAGCGTTAGGAAGGCAGCCAGTATGGACAAGAACAGCTACCATTCAGTGTGCATATGGGCATGTACGAGTATTACAAATATTAAACCTGTTCTCAACACCTCTCTTCCTGTAAATTAAAACAACGTTGAAACTATTTTTCTTCAGAACCATGGGTTACCAGCAGGAAGTGGTCGAGCGCATCGTCAAGGAGACGGGACAGACGGAAGATACCTTCCTCGTTCTGGAGAAGATCGTCGAGGAAACCAAACGTTGTGAAGCGGGGTCAAACGGAGGGGAAAAAGAAAGACTGTTGAACTCTGTGCGCCCTCCAGACGCTCCCTCCTCATCTTCCTCCTCTCTGGTCTCTCGATTCCGAGACAAGGAGCGGGAGCTGAGCAGAGCGTTGGTGGACCAGGGCCGGTCTAAAGAGAACATTAAGCCCAACCAGCACGGAGGCAGAAGCAACGGTCTGGGGCACCGGAGGCAGTGCAGCAGCAGTGAGACCAGCACTCAGCAGGTAACACCCTTTAACAATCAAAAAAGAATGTTGCTTCTCAGTTCACCAGCCCACATCACATTTCCAGCTCTTGTATCTAAACTCCCACAGACGCATTCTGTTTTCTTCAAAGCCGCCTTGTCATCATTGTATCTTCTCTCCTGTGCTGAAAGCTGATTACACCTGCTGTACCTGCCTACATGTCCCAGGATGCTTTGCATGCAAGCTCTAGGAACTCTACGGTGCCAGAACCCCCCCCCCCCACCCCCCCCCCCCCCCCCGCCGCCCCCCCCCCCCCCCCCCCCCCCGGCCTGTTCGATGGCCTCGCCCATGTATTTGAAACACAATGGGCCACAATATAATGCACTGTGTTTCGCTCCCAAATGAACAAAAAACAAACTCTATCCAATCTCATTTCAGGCCATCACCATCAAGAGGAGCTCTAGTGCTCAAGGAGGCGCAGGAAACTACGAGGTTATTACCATCGACGACGACGACGACGTCCTCATGCACAGCAGAACAGCGGATAGTCGGACGTCCCGGATGATGACAGTGCCACACCTGGACACCCAGTCCGGATCCAGAACAGACTACTTAGCGCGGGGAGGGGACAGTGCCTCGCACAGGGACTACATGTCGAGGGGCGGGACTCAGACGTTGGGGGGAGCAGTGAAAGTTGAGACTGTGACGGCGCTGCGCAGCACGCCTCAGTGGTTCACGGCCACCACCACCTCCTTAACACCGACCCCCAGTGTAGGTATTACCCTCAAGTCCACTCATGAATGCGTTTGGCTTTTTCGTTACTTCTCTTGGCTGTTTGACCGTCACGGTGCAGAATGATGTATGTGCAGAGTTTCTCTCCTTCAAATGTCTATTTGAGATCAAGATGAGTTCTACAATAAGAACTTGTTTAGAAGCCAATCACGATCCAATAATTTAGTTTAATTTAAATTGAGTGTGATGTGAAAAGTTAGAAAGCAAACTCACTTAACATTAACCGCACAATTCTAGTATCAGTATTTGTATATGTCTTTAGAGTGTCTAAAGGGGATCCACAATATATTGGCTGGGAAAGTCGGGGAAGTTGACGAAACAGTCGTCGGACAACTTCCCGTTAGTCAGCTTACATTCCTACTGATGAATCATTTCTGGTTATAGACTAGATGTTTAAAGAACCAGTTTTACTTCTGGATGAAACTGATAAACCATGAAACAAAATATGACAATAATATGTAATTGTCTTATACAAAGAGGGACAAAAATACCAGAAAGAGTATGAAACAATGTATTTTGTCTCACCTTTCTGAATACAGATTTTTATTCCATTGAAATGTGTTTGACCAACCTTGATGCCTCCTTGTCTTTCTGTTATTTTACAAGTCATTTCTTCTGTTTTCCTGCTCAGTCGGCTCAGCCCATCCCCCGGCCCTCGGCCTCTCCCTATCAGACCATCGGCCACATGGGGTTCCACGGGGTCGGAGCCAGGACCCCTCCTGCGAACGACCCCCCCGCGCCCCCGGTGACCGGTTTCGCTCGTTTCAATCAGTCGCTGCGGACTCCCTACGCTCTGAAGTTGCCAAATGAGCCGGGACGTCCGGAGCTCAGGCACATCATCATAGACGGCAGCAACGTGGCTATGGCGTGAGTCTGCACCACACACAAGCAAATATGAAGCCAGAAACACACTGCTCTGGCATAAAGCAGGCTCTGCCCTTACATTGATACATGAGAAGGACATTTTAAAGGGATGTATTTATTAGCAGTGTGTCGTGGAAGCTGCATACCGATTAGAAACCTTCGTGTGGCAGAAAAAAAAAATCAGAACCATCTTCACTGTGGATTCTAATATGCAGAAATAAGGGTTCAACCAAAGAAATCCTTCAGATACACATTCAGCAACTAACAAACAAAGCATCCACTTTTTATTTCCAAGCAAACATGCAGATGACGTTTCTGTTGACAGACTCGGCACTTCTCAGAGGGAGCAAAGCGCTCTGTCATCCTGGAGTCCGATCTGTTTAAATCTCTCTCACTGCTGTACTCGGGCTCCTATCACTCTTGTGGTGACACTAGTGTCATTCTGACAGCCTTGTGGCATTTGGTCGGGGGGTTTTTGTTGAAGTGTCGGTGTGTGTGTTTGCAGTGCACATAATATTAGTCCAGCTCACATCATATTGGTGTCGCTTCTGGTACGTTAAGACTTTTCTGTCTTGAAGCCCTACATTCTTAAAGTAAAGTCAAATACAAGAACATTTAGAACCAGATCTGAAGTAGAATGTTGACATGAGAAAAAAATATTAATTTCATGATGTTTATTTTTATTTATGATACTATTATCTCCGTCGGCTCACTTTGACTGTTTTAGCCAATGTGTTCGGCTAACCGCTAACGGCTATCGGACCTACTAGTATACACACATTGTATGATGAGTCTTATACGACTTTGAGGCGATTGCTTGTTTTCGTTGTTTGACTTTGTGTGTTTCACGATGCACGAGAGGCCTTTTGTGTCGAGGCGGGAGGTTAGCCAATTGTGGGCCGTGTTCATTCAGTCACAAAATACAGCAGTGGTCGTTGCAGACACACCTGGCGGAGATCCTCACTCTACTGAGTGCACATTTCTAGTTGTATTTGTTGATGATGTTCTCGTATATATTTTCACTTCGTTACTGTGTGACGTGGATATGAAATAGTTAAAAAATGTTGGGCCAGCTGTTCAAAAAGCAGCATCAGAACCAGCATACTTAACAACTTAGATGACACACCTGTAGTATGTGCACCATGTTTTTTCCTTTTACACATGAAGCCATCACC